GCGGAGGGATCCCACCCGGAGGCAGCCCCTGCGCCCTTGGGGCACACCACACCGGCCCGTCCAGGAATGAGAGAAATGGACCGGGGTCTTCTCGAGCTTCTGCAACACGGATGCCACCTGCTGCAGCAATCTGTGTCATTTCCACGAGCGGCGTGTCCAGCTGGGCTCCAAGTGCGGAGCTGAGAGCAAGGCCGGCAGCCACCTGCCTCTCCGGACACGATGGCCTTTGCAGACTTCTCATCCCAAGGGAGCCAGAGGCCCGTCCGTCCCAGGGCCCCGCTGGTCTCTGCGCCCAGGGCGGGGTGACGGGGGTCTTAGAGCAGCCGCAGAGGCCGCAGAGACGGGCCAAGCCCGAGACTCCCCAGATAATCCCGTGGGGGCCCACACACCCTGGCGAAGTCAGTCCTGACAAGGGCCCGTTCCCTCCAAGTTCACGAGGCCTTCGGGTGGGGTCCTCCGGACACGGGGGACCCTCGTCCCCACCCTCTGCGCCCTCTCCTTGCCAGGCAGGCCCAGCCCTTCCCGCCCGCCCAGCAGTGGGCTCTGGGCTCCACAGAGGCAGGGACTCTGTTGTCCCAAACGTCCACTGATCGGTGCCTCCCGACTCCCAGAGGCCCATGTCCCACCGTGGCCACAGCCAGACCAGCGGGATGTGCGTGGGTGACTTGTTCCGGAAAGAAAAGCCCCTCCGTTACTCTCCGGGGCAGGAGGGTCCCAGAGGAGAAGCCTCTTTCTTCCCGCGTGGCCTGGACGCTGATGGTCTAAGTCAACGCCCCCCGATCCAGGTGACATGGTTCCCTTCCCTTCCCGGGGCTAACTCATTCGCCCTTGACCCAGAATCCCCGCTGCAGCGCCTCGCCCGGAAAGACAGGGCCGGAGGAGCGCAAGAGAAGTGGCTGTGGACTCGTTTGGACATCGGGCTGCCCAGGCTGGGAGAAAACAGAACAAGAGCCAAAAAAAAAAAGAAAAAATGACCTGCCCTGTTCTACTGTTCCGGATAAAATATACTTAGGATTAAAAAAACACCCTCCGATCTCAGCAGATGCTCCGTCCACCTGAGGGACTCGGTGTCCTTGTGCCCGAGCTCACGGGGAGGCGGCCTGCGTCCCCTGAGAGGAAGAGAGGAAAAGTGCAACTGCGTAACCCAGGGGGCCCGCCGTCCAACAGGCCCGGGTGACCGATGTGACCGCAGCCAGCCGGCCCAGCGGCTGGGCCCGAGAGGCGGAAGGGTCTCGCAAACAGACTTCCTCCACAGTCGGTCGGACCCCTTTCCTCATGGGCTAAGGGGGCGTCCTGAGAGTTTTTAAGTCTGGCTGTGGGGTGGTTTTGTGGCGTTATTTTTAGTAAAGCATTTGCGTATCAGTCTTTCTTCCCGGCCAGGCCCTGGCCCTGGCTCTCTGCTCAGCAGCGGTGGGAGCAAGGGCTGCATGTGCCTGGACCCGGCCAAACAGGTGACGGCAGCGGCAGGGAGGGAGAGAGGAGGGGGCAGAGCTAAGGGCACCCGGAGCTCGAGGGGGCACCACCGCAATGAGGGGCTGTCCCGGTGGTGTGGCCCCATCAGAAAGACAAGGCTGCCCTCCGACACCCGTATTTACTGGGCGCCTAGTAGGTGTGCAGGCGCTGGGGGAGACACAAGGAGGCCTCTGACAAGGCTGCTCGCAGAGAGTTCATAGGTTGGCTAGTGTAGGGGCACAGACCCCGGAGAGGGATTTCAGGTGTGATGACCCTCCGCCACCCACCCCACACAAAAAAAAACATTAAAAAAACAAGAAAGAGAAGACTTCAGTTCACTGGACTTGGTTTCATCCCGTTTCTTTTAGTTCACCAGCTTCGCACAAAAAGCATGAATCTGCAAACCTTTCCAAATGCATGCTTGGACTCATAAAGTTCTTGTTCATCAGAAAAACGCTCTTTATTGCAATGAAGAAAACCCTCAGACACATCTCCAGTGCTTTCATGAATTGTTTTCTTGTCAGCCTCTGTTTGTGAAGTGAACAGTTTCCCAGACGGCATCCACACACACAGCAACGTTCTGAAATGGCCCCTCCAGCCCCTGGCGCTCACAGAGACGCTCGAGCTCTCGGCTGACGGCGGCAGGCCGCCGCCCAAGTTCACGGCCGTGGCTGCCCCCGCCGACCCCTACAGTGCCCGTTCAAAGTGCTATGAGGGAATACCTCCACTAATCGACACCCCAAAGATCCACAGCTTTCCAGGGGTGTCCAACCTGCCGCCCGCATGCGGCCCGGGATGGCTGTGAACACGGCCCAATAGAAAATCGTAAATTTACTTAAAACATGATGAGAGTTTTCTGAGTGTGATTACACGTCACAATGTATTTAATGTGTGGCCCAAGGCAACTCGTTCTTCCAGTGTGGCTGAACAGCAGAGGGAAAAAGCTCATTGCCACCTTGCAGCCCACCTCTAGCACTGTCGGGGGGCTGGCCAGGCCCCGCAGAGAGCTGTAAAACAACTCCAAGACACAAAATCCAAAATAACCCTGAGGAAATGCTGAAGTTTTGTTACTTTCCTTTAAGCATAAAGGAACCAAATGTAATTGATGCGGGGGGGTGGGTGGGTGTTGAAAAACACCTTTTCTGTTTAGGTTAAACTCCTGGAGAAAAGGGTGTGTGTGAGCACTGCATGCTAAAACCGACTCCCTTCTAACCAGAAGGACTTTAGGGACGAGTCTCGCAGTCCCTCTCTCACCTGTGGGCTCACACGGTTCTCTCGTCGCACTTGGGTTTCCGTAAGTTCAGAGACTGGGCCTTCGTGGAGACTCAGTTCTGGTTCTTTAAAACAGCGATGCTGAGGTTGGTGAGGTTATCAGAGTGAACAAAGCCAAATTTGTGTTTCATGTGGAACCACGGAAAAGTAACAACGCCGTTCACACCCAAAACGAGTTCCTGAGACTTAGGGTACGTTTTCCCACGTGGGCGCATCCCTGTCCGGAGCAGCTTCCCTTAGGTACGTAAAAACAATAAGGGACGTGTTCATCGTGCTGGCTGGGCTAGAACCCGTGTCCTCGCCAAATTCCCAAACAGCGGGTGGACCCGTCGGGTCAATTATTGCTCTGCGCGCTTCAACGCGGGCCTCCAGCGAGCGGCCAGACCCCCCAGCCCTGAGGCCCGAACTGCGGGCCCCGCCCTGCGCCGCTGCGGCTGCGCCTCCGTCAGGAGCACGCACCCACCCCCCCAAACCCCCCCCCCCCGCTGTGGGCGGCAATGCCCACGGATTGGAAGTTTCCGCGTCTACCCGCGCTGACCACGCGCGGTCCACTTTCTGGGTGTGAAACCCACCGGAAGTGAAGTCGGACCCACATGGATTAATTACACGTGTGCGGCCACGGCTCCCGTTCACGAGTGCGGCCGTCACGTCTCAGGTGGAGGAGGCGGGGCCCCGAGAAGGTTAGTGGAGGGGCGGGGCGCCACACCCAGTCCCCTCCCCGGGCCCTCGCACGGCTGCCCGCACCGCGGACACGGGCTCGCGCGCCCGCGCGCACATGCGCTGCGAAAACGCACGCAGCTGACCGGGCTGTGCCCCACGAGAAACAGGGAGCACGCGGCGGCGGCCGGGAACCCGAACTGTTCTTCACGACTCCCGGCCACTGCCGGCGGTGCCGCTGGCCGCGCGTGGGGGGTCACTGCCGTGTGGGTGCTGCCTTCGGGAGCCATCACTTGCCCACTCCAGAAAAAAACCACGTATGATCATGTGCCTGACCTCCGGATTACTTTTACAGACATTGGGATCCTTACACTTTTAACATAAGTAACATTAACTGATGCTGCGAACGAAGGGAGACGAGACCTCTGTCACGGCGCGGGCCGCTGGGAATCAGTCCCTTCCTCCCGGGAGGGCGGCCTCCGCCAGCGGCGGCGCAGCGGGTGCCTGGGAACCCGAAGGCAGGGAGAACTGCCCTGAACTTTGTGAACTTCGGTCCGCCTGCGCCCCGAGGTGCAGGACAGGGCCGTGCGAGCCAGGCCTGGGCTGCAGGGCTGGCCCCCTCCCCGCGCGCTGGGACCTGCGAGCATCTCGGCCGCCGGCCGCCCGGGCTCAGCTCCTTGCCTGCCTGCCTGCCGGGAGTGGCCGTTCGCAGCGCCCGCCTCGCCGGCCACTGGAGACGCCGTGCAGCGAGGGCTCGCACGCGGGAAGGCACGCCAGTGAGTATTCCCATCGCCCCGGTGGCTACTAAAATGCGGGCCTGCAGACAGAGGGAACAGTGACCAGAGCGGCCGTCCGTGGGCACGCTCGCGAGGGCAGACCCCGCTCCGAGGGGGACCACGCAGCACACTTCGGACGCCCGGTGCGGATGCCAGACCGCCGGGGACGCCTCCCGGAGGGCGCTCCGGGGCAGGGCACGAGAGACAAAGGGTTCACCGAAGAGACTTCGGGCAGAGGGGAGACTCACTGCACATAAAGACGCGTTCAGCCTGGGTGGAGAAGCGGCTGGACACCTGCGGGGAAAGCGAGCGCTAGGGGCCTGCTGAGACCCAGGGGACGCAACGCCGTCACTCCCGGCGACTCGCGAGCCAGGGTTCTTTCTCACAAACGCCCACGCCAGTGTCTCCGGGCAGCAGACGCACCTACATGACATCGAAGCGTGTCCCCTCCCGAATCGCGTCCCGTGTGGGTCCGCGTGGACGCAGAGCACGGCGCGGGGCCGTCCGCCCTGCCTCCGCCAGCCCCCGGGGATGCCAGACGCCCGCCCGCCCTGCCCACGCCCCAGTCCACGCAGGAACCGCGGACGTCAGGGAGCACTTCGAATACCAACGTCCCACAGACCCCACGGTGTAGTTCTCTTCTTCTTACCAAGCTCCACCCCGAGGGCCTCCTCTCCTGGTTTGATGGTAACACTGAGGTGAAGCGGCACATTAACCTCTCCCTTCAAATATGCCTTTCGATGTTACTTCTTACACAGAAAATTAAGTTAACAGCCAAAAACAAATGAGATTCAAAGGAGGACATAAAGGAGATACGATTCATTAAGTATAAAAATATGCTGCTTCAAATTGAGAATAATTTAATAATTCTTCATTATCTCGTATGTGTCTGGAAATGGAACGGAGACGTGTCCCGATCCCGTCACGAGAGGTAGGATCCCAGCGTTGGGCACGACGTTCCAGGACAGGGTCAGAGTGACGTTCCGGTTCCCCCTGCAGAGGAGACAGCAGCGCGGGCGTCAGCAGGGGCGGGCGGTTCGGCGTGGGCGTTTCAGCTCCAGCGCTGGGCCGGCCCGCAGGTTCACACACGACCCGCTCTTCCTAACGGGCACCCTAACCCGCCCACAGAAGTCGTCTCGGGTCCCCCTGTCTGGGGGGGGCGCCCCGCACTGACCCCCCTAAGCTCCCTCGGTTCAAGAGCTCCCACGAGTGGAACGTGGAGAGAACAAGATCAGCCTCGGGTGGGAGCTAGAAGACCGTGCTCCCAAGCCCCGTGCTGCCTACCATCACCTGGACGGGCGAGCCCGAACAAGCCTTTCAGACCGGAAAGACTCAGCGTGACTCAAAAGGTCCCTTACCCTAGTTCCCTCACGTTGTGTGAGGAGGAAACTGAGGCTCGGGGAAGGGAACCAAAACGGGGAACCGGGAACCTCAGTGTCAACCGGGCCAGCACCCACTGCCTCCCCCCGCCCGACCAGGGGCCTGCGCCCAGGAGTCCCGCACCCACCGAGTCCTGCGCCCACCGAGTCCTGCACCAGCACCGCAGACCAGGCAGACCCTGGGCGGAGCGGGGACCCCGCCTCTGCCCGTGCGGCCGAGCCGCCACCTTCCGGGTCGGAGGTGCGTGAACACCGGGCTCCTGGTCCAGCCTGCCTCTCCCCACCCTCTACTAGTTTCCTTTAAAAATAAAGACACACCTTCCCCCCCCCCGTCCCTGCACATCATCATTAAATCGGAAACAAACGACAAAAAATTGCTCACTTGAGACCATTTCCATCATCAAAGAAAAAGTATTTTGTTTTCATATCCTTCAACAGCAGCTTCGGATTATCACCTCTCAGAACAATCTTGTCCCAAAGCACAACCTGGTTCAGCGCCTACATCGGGACGAAAACGCATGAGAAAACTCACCAGAAAGAGCATCTGCATCGCTTCAAATTAAAAGTATTGGTAAGCAAACAGTTTATCATCAATGAACCCACCCTGGGGGGAATGACTCAAATCTTCAAGCACAAAATGGTAACAACTGGACAGATACAAGAAAGGGGGAGCAGACTTTCCTCGGAGAAAAGGAAGATATATCTCAGAAGGTTATCGTTCCTTCTGCTAAAGCAACCTTGTTACTTAGGGTCCTCGAAGCTTTCTACACGGCTTTAGCCCTGCACGCACTCCAGGGCGAGGCCCGGGCAGCGGCAGAAGGAGCTCCACTCCCCGAAAAGGGAACACTCAACTCTCGTTTCTCCACAAACCTCCGAGGCCCTCCAACCCAGACGGGCCCCGCACAGAGGCAGGGACACAGTGCCATCGCGCTGGGAACGCAGGTCCCTGCCGCCCGACTGTGTCATGACAAGGTGTTTAAATCACCGTGGAATCACTGAAGAAAAGAAGCCTTTTTAATATTTTTCTTTACATTAAAACAAAATACAGGCACATCGCTGTGTTATTATGGCAAGTTTCTAGAGTCAGACACCTCCTTTCGGCTCCTATTTTGACATAGATAAACTGTTTGGAAAATTCGGGACACAGAGTGGAGAGAAAGCACAGTTGTGGTCACCAGTAAACCCCAAGAACTGCGTTCCTCCTAAGCTCCCGTCCACCAGCCGGCGAGGCCGGCCGCCCAGCGCGTCTGGGAGGAAACGTGGACCAGGTGTTTCCGCGCGAGGGTTCAGATCAGCACCTCAGCCTCTTCCTCACGCGGAACAGAAACAGCACGAGGGAGGAACACGGAATCGAGGACACGGCGAAGAGAAGTGCCTTTTCCTGCGTGTCCATCCACCAAAGCAACAACCCGTGCAATCCCAGCCTGTATTACCTTACCAGTCAGGCTGGGGCAAACCAGAATCACGAATGCAACTTAGGTGTATCTGTCACCAGGAAAGGGACGCATTTATTTGCATGGTTTGCTCCGAGGCTTGTAGGACATTGTGTGTCTCCAGTTGTCACCCTTATCTTCAGAACAGCTTTTTCTGTTTTAATGCTTTGTAGATCCTCAAGAGCAGAACGTACTCAACCCAATAATGCCAGGGCCTAACAAAATATCTGGCACAAAAGATACGCTCAAAATAAACGTTCTGTACAGTGAGCTGACCGAAGTGCTGAAAATTACACCGAACTGAAAAAAACAGCCAGCAGATAAGGCTGGCTAATTTGCCGTCTCTGGAAAATGAGCACACGGCAAAGGAAGTGCAGGAGCAGGCTCCTTTGGAGCTGCGAACAACCCCTGGTCCGCGCCCACGGCGGGCGTGAGGCCGACCTGGGCGAGACGAACGCAGACGCTCGCCTGAGCGCCACAGGCGCCCCCTGCTGTTTGAACTCACTCGTTAGAGAATCGGTCACCTTCTGCTTTTACGTCCCAGGGTTTCTGTTTCAGCAACATCCTCCATAATATCTCCACCCCTACTCTAGCCACAACCAGAGCCGAAAATCAGCCTGGACTAATCCATCTCTACCACAAACTAATAGCGCTTTAATATATTTTAAACTAAGAGTTTAATAGCTTCTAATTATAAAACCTCGGATGAACTAATTTATGATTAAAAAGACTACCTTAAGTCCTCATACCGATAAATCCCATACAACTCCAAAATAAGGAAAACTTCTCAAGACAGATATTAACTGTGTAAGCATGGTTTCATGACACGATCACAACAGCTTAAACCACGTGTTATACATACATGTATGTATATTCTATATCATATTTTGCCATGTATAATGTGTACTTTTTTTGCCCAAATTTTTGAGAGAAAAATAAGGATGCACATTGTACATGGGTAGTACTAATTTGGTATCTATATAAGTGTTTTTAATTCTTTTATTTATGCATACATATTAAAAGTATAACTCTAGAAAGCAGTAATATCTGTATGCAAAATAATACCCTGGAATATGACAATCGGTTTTGTTTCTAAATAAATAAAAAATTGAATTAAAAAATTAAAATGAAAGAGTTTTGTTTTCCTGAAAGTCTGGTCCACAAACATGGGTGAGCATTATACATGGCAGCGTGTTACACCCGGCAAAATACAGTATCCATAAATACTTACCTGGATTATAAAGTGGTCTCAGAGATGATTCAAAATTTGCCTTTACAGATTTTGATTACATATTTGGGTAACCAGAGTTATAAACACAGATCACAAATTTTATTGACTCAAATGTCTTGCTGTCTATCATCCTGAGCATAGCCGTGGAGAGACTATTTTAACTCAAAGACTCCTAAGGTGGGTGGCAAAGCCCCCTCCCATGTCCTCCTGCACCCAAAGGTCAGCAACACCCTTCCTGGTGTCACCACTCGGAGTGGTCTTCAAAGGTTTTCCATCACATACTACTTTGAACACAAACCCCCAAACATGCACCTTTCCTTACAAATTATGTACGTAAGACAAACTGCTATTATCCTTCAAGAATACCCTTGTTGATAGTACATGTACACGTGCGTTTCAGCCTCCTTGACTAACGTTGCGTTTTCTCAGCCAACTCTGTATTGGATCTGTCCAGGTTTTCCCTTTTTAATCCTTCAATGGGGCTGCGCAGCCCCAAGAAGAGCAGGCATCAGCTCCGCCGTGTTCCTGCTGCTGCCCGCCTGCGCTTGGGTTGGGCCACTAGCATCGTCTTCGATCTGTGATGGCTTTGCGGGGATCCTTTTCTCTTTTCCATCTCGTGAGGATTAGTTTACTTAAAATTGGATAATATCTGTGGTAATACCACTTCATTGGGTAGATGCTGCACACCTTTGCACAGAGCTCAATGGGAAGGAGTGAATACAGAGAGGTGTGTAGCCCGCTCAACCTCTTGCCCTACAGAACTGCTCCCCTCCTCCAGAGTGTCTGCGTGTTCTAGGAAGGATGTAACCGCCCCGCCCCCACCACGTGGGGTCTGAGAATTGATGCCCTTCCATCCGGCACATGCTTACAGCTTAAGGTCTTTCCCCTTTAGTTTCCACTGAGAAACACCCAAGGGGCTGTGTGGTGTCCAGCCTGGCGGGTGAGGAGGCTGGGCTGCCACGGCAACCTCACGTCACGTACAAAGGCAAACAAACTAAAAAACTGCAACTCAGCTCGGGGTCCTCAGAGAAGAAGTAGTAGCTCGTTTTCCTTAGACACCTGTGGGGCACCTTGCATGCGGCCCATTCTGGAGAGCGCATGGCTACAGAGCTATAGAGACAGACAGAGAAAAAAATACAGAGGCGGCCAAAGGAGGCAGCATTTTCTCAGTAGGTTCTCCTCCCCATAGGCTTGTGATTTTTACTAACTACTCAGATCAGACATTTTGAATATCTAAAGTTTATATATTTTCATAAAGAACAAGGTTTTACATATCTCCTAAAATACTCCTCTTTATATATACTTACATTATTTTTTGTTGAATATTCTGCTGATAAATAAAGAAACAACTGCTTGACATTCCAATCAAATATATTCTCTAGATGTAAACAAATTAAGGAATATAAAATAGATCTTCCTTATTCTTAAGTGTTCACAGCAATACTAACCAAAATAGAAAAAAAAAAAAAAAAAGGAGAGGTAACCCAGAAACATACTGAGCCAGTAATAAAAATATGTAAAAGGTAGAGAGGATTTAGTATTTCAAGCACACAGGATTCCACTAAAGTTCCAAAGTGACCAGTCACCACAATTTAAATGTGACGATACGCGAACGCACACTAGGCCCCAGTGATTACACCAAGTATAATAAACTCTGCGGTGCCTTTGGGCACGTGCCAGCGGAGATCGAAAGTTCTCAGTCCATGAGATGCTTTGGCAGAAGACACAGCTGGACACTAATTTGGTTTCATCGGTTTACTAATGTAAAAAGATAAAAATCAGCAGAATAAATTACAAGACTGGTGTCACTACAAAATGAACTGTGTCGATGTCTGCATTTTACTAAGCATTCCATGGAAATGGTTAAGTTATTTGTTATATGCCTGTACATACTGATAGCAACACCTTCACGTGCATCCACTAAGAGTCACTATTTCAGGATTGAGTAGTCTAAAACAGCTTTTTTTTTTTTAAATTTCAGGACTGTTCTCTCTAAGAGCAGGTGGAGTTCCAAGCTTTAATAGCGGCCTTAAGAAAACCAGACTGAACTGGGTGACTCCCAGCACATACACAGCAGCTGAGATACCAGGCAATTTCGCTGTAATCGTCCAAGCCAGCGATTTTCGACCCGTGTGCCGCAAGAATTTTAAAAACATGCAATTCCTGACTATTTAGTCAAGAACACTGACCTCTCTTCCGTCAGAGTGTCAAATGAAAAAATGACAACAGCCATCTGGTGTAAACGCCCTGCACTGAACTGTAACTACAGAGGTCATATAATAGAGTTGCATCTCATTGGTCAGTTTGCATAAGGTTGTGTCTGATTGGTTAATTCTTGGTGCCAGAAATCCTTCTATACAAGTACAGGCACCTGATTTTTAAAAAGTCACTTTGGAGTTTAAAGGGTAGATAATTACTATTCTCTTTGTAAATTAATCAAAATTATACCTCTTTTTTAATATGACTTACCAATAGTCATTAGGATAATGACCTTCCAAACCATAACAGATGCAATTCAATCTTTAACCACGTTTCTATCATGAAATATGGAGATGTACTTTGGGATTGTATAAGAAATACTCCATCCAGGTTGGATGAGCACTAAACATTCTTCCTTCTTTAATCCAAATGATCTAATTCTCTCTTTCCAAAATATACATTCAAACTCCCCTGAAGCTTTCAATTTACGTACTGTTTCTGTGAAGAATTTAGAGTATCTTCTCACAGTAAGTGCTGAATCTACAAATAAGTTTCCTCCAGACATCAATGAGGAGGTATTAATACGATTTTACTGGTGAAAACATAGGCCCAGAAATGTCCAAGGCTTGGCTGACAGTCAGACTGTCCTCCTACAAGATGTGCATCATTACCGAACCACAGAACAGCAATGAAATCGTTTCTTAAAGGATATCTGCCGTCACATCAAAGTTTATGAATCCCAGATCACTTCTTTCTCTAGGTCCAGTGAAGTCTTCCACGTTTTTCCTAGAAGTAAAGATAAAAGCTTTACCACCGTGCAAACATATCAGCGTACAAAACCCACACGGTTCTTTAGGTGGAGTGACAGACAGGATGTAGCTGTAGCACAGGGGAAACAGCGATTCCACAAGGAAGAGCGTGAAAACGCGAGAACCCTGTAACCCTGAAATCAGGGCAAACTTTCACATTCAACATCAAAGTCGGTCTTCAGCTACTTTCACATACCTCAAAAGAGTCCCTAACAAAGCCCAGGGGAGATAAAAACTGCTCAAAAGAAGTGTCACTGCTCGATGACACGTGCCTGGGTAGACTGGGTGCAAAAAAGTGCCCGTTCTAGGGGGCGGCGTGGAAAACCGAGAAAAACAATCACAACTGCTATTCGCCGAGTGCCTACTGTGTGCCTGCGTCATGGCCACTACGTCTTTTCACAGTTACCTCGAAGTGTCCAAGTTGGGTGTACTTCCATTTTAGAGGGAAATTAAGGCCCGGAATTGTAAGAAACTGACTCAAAATTAACAAGACCTAACAGCTGTTCGGCGTTTACGATGCACCAGGCTCTTCAAAACCCCCCGAGTTGGCAGGGGCAGGGCTCACTTCCACGCAGGGTCTGATTTTTGAACCTAAAACACAGTTATCTAACAAATATCACCAGAGCAAAAAAAAAAAAAAAAAAGAAGAAGAAGAAGCGGGATGGCGGGGCGGGGTAGTGGTGAATGCGGTAACTGTTAAGATGACCGGCGTGATGGAGATTCTGACAAATAATGAAAACTAAGGTTGGAGAAAGAGAGAGAACTTGTTAGAAGCGGAAACAGACAAGAAAGGTAGGAGAACCAGAAAAAAAAACAACAACTCTACATATCAAAGAAAAAAGTGCTAGAGAATAAAATAATCAAGAAAAGAAAAAGGCAAGGGCGAAATGCCCACGTCATCCCAAAGTTCTATTTTTGGCATTTTCGCAGATTTATTCAAGCGGTTGGCTCGTAACAAATAAACGCCGAACCGCACCGGGGAGCTCAGATGCCGGCTCCTCTCGGAGCACCCGCACCGCCCTGGCCAAGTTCAAAGCGGCTCCAGGAATTCCAGCCACCGAGCAGCCGAGACGGGCGCTGCGGGGGACACGTCAAAGAGGGCGAAGTCCGGGGGCCGGGGCCCCGCAGCGCTGCGGCGCGGAGCTCGGGGCGCGGGGAGCGGGGAACGCGGCGGGGCTGGGGACCCCGCGGGGCGGCGGGGGCCCGGCGGGGGGCGGCGGCGCGGCGCGCTGTTGTGTAGCTCCCTCATTGGCCGGGCGTGGGCGGAGGGAAGTGAGGAACAGGAAGGAAGCGCAGGCAGTGACCCGAGGAACACTCAAAATTAAAATTTAAGAGCAAGCCCGGGAATTGGTGGCGGAAGGGTGGGAGTTGGAGGGGAAGCCCGCCAGGTGCCCCGCCGGACGCGGGCCCCCGGGGACCGAGGCCGCCCTGAACGGGGACCCGGGGACCCGCGGCGGCCCAGCCTCCGCCCCGCCCTGCCCCGCCCCGGCCCGCACCAGCCGCCCCACTCCGCCGGCCGGGCCTCGGCCGCACTCACAGCATGATCCGGGAGACGTGCAGCCGCACCGGGACGCTCCGGTCTTTGAAGGCGGTGGTGATGAAGCAGCCGAAGGTTAGCGCCGCCATCACGCTCAGCGAGAAGGCGAACAGCGAGTTCGCCCGCGACAGCACCGTGTTCATCGCGGCCGAGTCCCCCGAGCCCTCTTCCGCACGCACACCCGGGACCCCGTTCCGGTGGCGGAGCGGCTGTGTGCGATCCGCGCCGCCTGCGCTGCTGCGCGCGTTCCGGGGGCGCGCGCCCCCGCGGCCCCGCCTCCCTTCCGGTTCTCCTTGAGGAGAGCGCGCGCGCGCACCCGCCCCCGGGACACACCCACCGGGCGGAGGGACCGCGCCGACTGGCGGAGACTGGGCCTCGCGCGGGCCCGCCCCTGTCTCCGGCCTACCGCCTCCGCCAATCAGCGACGAGCAGGGGCGGGGCGGTGTTTCGCCACGAAGACCCGCCTCCTCTGCCCTACATCCACCGGGCAACTCCGGTTCCCCCGGGTCCCCGTTCCCGGCGTGTATGCTCTCCCTTTACCGTTCTGCCGTCAGGTGGTCTGGGACCCTGGCCTGGGGACGGTTTGTAGTTCATTGATTTGCACTGAAAACCAGCAGCCTAGCGTGGTCGTCTGGAGCGTGACCTCACGTGCCGCGTTTGGCAGCGGCATTTTACCCCACGCCGGGTCTTCCCGCAGTCGGAGGGGTCAAAGCTAGAACCGAAGCCCATTCGGGGGTGGGGGGAGGGGGCGGAAGAGGCCTCGGCATCCTTAAAGCTGCCGGTGTTTACTTTCCACGTGCGACCTTGTGGGCTCCTGTGACTGCTGCCTTCCAACGGCTGCTGAAGCGGTTTCAGGCGGTAACGGTTGATGCTCTCGATTCCAGTGTACGCATTTAACTGGTAGTTCCTCTAACAGACCTCGCTGGGTTCTTAAGATCACAGGCGATAAATGGCCGAGGGGTTGCTGTTACAGCACAATGCATAAGAATTGAAGGTTGGCAAGGCATCCATACGTAATCGCCCTCGGGGGCTTTCAGGTTCAGATTGTGTGGATCCTGACCTTAAATAGACTGTCACCACACACCTTTGCTGCTTTCACAGCCAGGGATTTTTGAAATTATAAAAGTAGAACTCACAGGGTCCAGTAATCTGCTTAATTTTGTTTTTTTAGATGCTGTGTACATAAGCCAAAAGAGGTCAAGAACACCTGGCGTAGAACCGGATAGCTGGCTCTTGTCTTCCATGGATGAGCCCTTGCTGCTTTGCATTATGATCATTCAGTTAATTTCCTACAGCCATGCAGTGAGTGCCTATGTGCCAGCTGAAGCTTTGAGAGTACAGCACTAATAAGGGACCGTCCCTGCCAAATTAGAGTAGAGCCCAGTAGTGAAAAATGGACAGATCTTTAGATGAGTTTAAAACTTAAATGCTATCTTCCAGGCAGCCACAGTTTATTCAATAAAGCAACTGTTTATTGGATGCCTGCTGCGTTGCAAATGATACAAAGATGTATACTAACCACTTTCTACCCTCATGAAGTTTGTAATCTTGTGGAGTCAATAAAATAAAAACCAACCTGAAACGCAAACAAGTACCAAGGACGCTACCAAGTGCTTCAGACTTAAGAGGAAGAATTCACGTCTGTGGTGATGTCGGACAGAGCAGCATCTGTTAGATATGTAATGCGGTGCCTAAACAACATGGCTGAGTTATTCCCATGAGATGCTAGTCCTCTGTTTTGACATTTACTAATTAACAATAATTGTTCATTCTAATTACCTATATTTATGCCTTCTCTTTTTTTTCTCTGATTAGTATTTTTCTTTGTTGATTTTTTTCAAAAAAAACTGTCTTTTCCATTTCTTAATTTTACTGTTGTTTGTCTTATTATTAATTTTTAATGTTATCAAAGTTTTTCATTTCATTTTTCCTTGGTTTACTAGTTTTAGGAATTAGATATTTAATTAACATCTAATTAGATTTTAAATTTTGCTTTTCTTCTTTGAGAGCTCATTTAATTGTGTGTGTGCATGTTTACGTGTGTGTGTTCAATTTCCAGAAGAGAGGACCTATTTCATTTTGATTGTTTTAAATTAATGTATGGTTTTATTTCATGCAGGCAGAGAATGCTGGTTGTGTTATTTTTATTCTTTGGATTATTGAGGTCTTTGTGGCCTAAACTATCACTTCTGTGAATATTCAGTGTGCACTTGTAAAGGTGGTATATTTTCTGTTAATGGTACACAGAGTTTGATCTATACTATGAGATCTACCTTATATCTTTATTAATTTTTCGCTATCTTGATTTTGCTGGATTGAGAGCAATGTATTAAAGTCTCCATGTTCATGTTTTCTCTCCTCTTTGTAGTTTCTGCATTATGAAATTTAAAAGGTTACATTTTGAAATTTATGCCACTTTTATCTCTTCATTATGAATGGTAGTCTTTAGCATTATAGAGTATTCTCCTTTTTCTCTTAATGCTTTTTGATCCAAATTCTAGCCTGCCAAGTACCAAGATTGTACAGAAGGAAACCGAAGCTGTTATTTATCTGAGTAATATTATCGACCTCAAAAGAAAGTTCAGCAGTTTTTCACTAAATGTCTTCTACCCTGTGACGGTTCCCACCGAGAACCTAATGGCGGTAGTGAGAGGAGGCTTTGTCAGCACTTACTCAGGTAGGAAGTGGTCAGCTGGGGAAGACATGCTCATTATATTTCTGCAGAGGAGGAGGAAGCTAGGATGAAGGTTAAGTTTCCATCTGCTTGCCTGCAAGTAATTATTCTTCATGCCACTCCTCTAAGAAGAGGGAAGAGGAATAAATTATTTTATGAGGAAATGCTTTAACTAAAGGTGTGTGTACATACGAGGTCTGTCGAGAAGGTGTCCAGCCATGTAATATGAAAAATAGAGACATTTGTTGAAGAAGATACAAGAAACATTGTCCACAGGACCATGATGCCTCGGTCCCCTTCAAAGTAGGTACCTGGGGACCTCACACAGTTCTCCCGGTCCCTATCAGCTGCCCTGTTGTATTTTCCTGAATCTCAGTGACGGTCTGAAATCTCTACTCTTTCAAAGGTGATTTTAGTTTTGGGAAAACCCAAAAGTAACCGGGCCCCAGATCTAGGCAGTAGAGGGGCAGTCACCTGCGTGATTTGATGTTTTGACAAAACATCAAAATGTGATGCACGAGCAGGTGTGTTGCCGTGATGAAGCTGCCAGTCACCAGTTGCCCATAGCCGCAGCCTTCTGGATCATCTGAACAGTTCCTGTGGAGGAATGTTCCAGCTTAACGCAAAGCCTGATGCAGATTCATTGCTCTACTCAGTCGTTTTGAATGTGACGGCCACACAGTACACCTGCTCACTCAATGGCATCTACCGCCCCCACTGACTAGTACAGTGAAGTCCTCACTGTTCACACATGCGCATTCCAGTCCACTCCCCTTGGCTGCCAGGTTACATTGATGCCACACAAACCATTCTCGTTATATTAACAAAGGCTGGACTTCTTTCTGGACAGGCCTTGTAGGCAGGTAAGGGGTAGAAAAGGGGAGTTAACCCGAGGAGACAAGCGTCGCACTCAGACGCGTCCTTACGAGGGGTGTGCAAGGTTAGCACCCCACTCCCGAAGGCAGTTGCTGCCGTGGATGGAGCATGCTGCAGGTATGGCACACTGAGGACCCCAGTTGGATATGTTTTTCAGAAGGAGACTATGAATGACGCCATCCATCACGGAGGGTCATACATAGTTCAGTTCCTTTGAGTGGCCAGGAAAGAACCTAGCACATAGTGGGTGCAAAAAAAAAAAAAAGAATTCTAATTGAATTGCGACATCCTGACTCCATATGATACGATATTTTTGAAGAAATTTCCATGGGAAAAAATACATACTATACACCAGTTACCAGGGTTTAAAGTGTGAATCGATAAAATGGTGTAAAGGACGAAACCCAAGGGGACATGCAGGCCGAGGACAGATGGTAGAAGGCTCGGCGCCAGGCTGGTGAGTGGGAACACCCTCCAGGAGACAACAGCAGTCTTCGAGGGTTTCAGATGCGTTGAATGTAAAGACCGTGCAGGCTGCAGGTAAATAAGTAATTTCTTAGAGAAGGGTGAGACTGCCAACTGGTCGACCAGGTGAGAGCTAGTCGTTGTGGCTCCGATGCGAGTCAAGGTCACGGCGCTGCAGGTGAAGTGAAGGTGCAGGTCCCCATAACTTCATCCACTGCCTCCAGGCCTCTGTCTTCAGCCCACCTGTAGGCACCCAGTGTCTAACCTGCAGGACAAGGTGGCCGCTGTGTTCACAGCTGCCTGTCCCACGTGCATGTGGCAGACAAGCTCACTGAACCTCCTTGGCAGGGGCACCTGAAGGGGCACCAGAGACCACTGGGTCCTGAGGATCTAGAGCTCACCCTGCCAAGGAAAATGAAAAACAAGACGCCCTTCCATAGTCCCTGGACAAAGACATCCAAAAATTATTGGGATTCTTTGGGTAGTTGAGGCAGTTACTATCCCACTGCGCTGTCCACAGCATCTAGACAACCACCCTCTGAGGAAGGGGCGAGGGGCTGGGGAAACCTGGGCATTCTCTTGGTAGAGGAGTCCAGTCCACTCTCCTCTCTCCCTGGCCTCCTCTGACTCACCCAGAAGCTCACTGCTGAAGTCACATCTCTGACATTCCACGGTGGGCATCAGGTCACTGCAGAGCCCAGGTTCAACTTTGCATCTCTTCACACTCATCCCGAGGAAGCTGTCCCCAGCTGTACATGGGCGTACAGGTGAGAGCTTTCAGCCTTTGGGGGATCACATGCTACTTGGAGTTGGGCCAGTGCCCTGTTGGGACACATTAGACATGTCCCGATTACCTTCTTTTCCTCATCTCCATTCTCAATTACAGGAAAGTTTCTAGATACCCATTGGCATACAAAGCCCACTTGTCCAGACTGGAAATGAAAGGGGGAAGGGGCCATAGCAGCTGGGTGGAAGGGTGAACAGGCCTGGGACCTCCATCCTTAGAAGTCCCTGCTGGAAAGGTCCACCCTGGGCTGGCATCGGGAAAACAGTGCCCCACACTGATAATAAAACTCCCAGAATGATAAAAGTGGCTTTCTGCCCCCAAACCATTTGTAGAAACAGGGTGGTTTATGCCACACACTTGTTTTCTTTCTGGGAGTCTGGAACTCTGGCCCATGCTGTGCAGAGGGTGTCTCCACGACCTTCCCCAGTGAAGACCCCGGACGCTGGGTCTGTGATGCTTTCTGGGGTGACAGCGCTGAACGTGCTGTCTCAGTTCGTTGCTGGGGGACTTCAGCGTGTCCGGTGGGGCCCCGCTGGGAGAGGAGTCTCGGGGGCTGTGGCTGGCTTCCCCTCAACCCCTGCCACCTTCTTCCCAGGTGCATTTTCCTTCTGCCGACTGGGTTTGGCAATCCTTTCCCTGGAGTAAAGTGGCCGGGTCACCATATACTGAGTCCTGGCGAATCAGTGAACCGCGGCGGTCTTGAGACCCCTGATGCAGGGACTCTCCCATTTCATAAATTTCATATTTAGAATGTCCTTAAGGATGTCTACCAAAACCCAGGGAAACTGAGCCCCTCTGTTCTGCGAGTGGAGGAGGAGTATTTTCTTGTCCCTAATCCTACGCTGTGAATGAACTCAGTCTTTTTTCCGGTGCCAGCCACGCCCACGCCCGAGTTTTGCCCCCCAGCACCTCACCTCGCGTGTATCCTGCCTGGCCTTCAGAGAACTCGCCTTCCCCTCCGTTCCCAAAGCTGGCCTCGGGCCCTGCTCCTCACGTTAACCCACGTGGACACATCGCACTAGGTCCTTGACCTTGAGTTGTGATTTTCACAGTCTGCTGCTCCCACACACACGCACCGCTGTGGAGGGGAGGCATGTTCATGGCTCGTTCATTGTCACCGAGCCACTCAGCCGCCTCCTCAGCGCCTCTGACCTCCCTGCCAGGCAAAGCCCATTATTTCAGCCAAGTGTATTCTCTGTGTGGACCTCTTGCCACTTGCCTGCCCCGTATTTATGTAAAGCTGGAAAGGGAAGTCAGTATACGACACAGACGGTTAGAAAACTCCAATCCTTCACATCACTATTTTTTCTGAGGTTTTTTTAAACTACTGGGAATACTTGAGAAGTTGAAAGCCCATATGCAACCAGAGAAGAAGCATCTGACTTCTTCGTATCCTGACTTTGAAAGGTCTGTGCTAAAGGAAGAAAGGGTTTGTGAGAATTTTAGATTTTTAGCTCCTGGATGCTGAAATATGTTCAGATTTTTTGCGCTATTACACTTCTCTGAACCCTTATGTTGGAAGGAAGTTCAAAGTTAACAGTCAGGTGATTTGAATACATCCTGCTAAAACTGAAACTCTTGAAGCACAAGTTCTGCCTCTGTGGCTTGCTGGCGCTGCATACGGCGGGAGTCGGCGATGAGTATATGACATTCTAGGAGCAGGTGGGGAAGCAAGGGGCTGTGACTTGGCTTGATGTCTGTAACAGACGCCAAGAAAAGGATCTCGCCACCCTCGCCGGTTCTGCCGTGGAGGCTGGCCAGCCCCAGGTCCCCAGGGGGCTTCTGAGGACGGCTGTGAGTCAGCCACGGTCGGTGCCTGGGACCAGAGTTGTTCCCGAACCCGGCAGGTGTTCCCCTGCATTTACATTGCCCCGTGGTGGAAGGCACGGCTCACTCTAAATCCCCATATTGAGCAGTTGGTGGTTTTTGTGGGGAGTTTCCAGGGAGAGGTCCCCAGTGATCCTGAACCTCCAGTGATTCTCGACGGGAAGGTCACTAGAAAAAAGCAATGATGGTTCATCCTTCCGTCCTCTCTCAAACAGAGATCAAGAAAAAGCAGACCCCTAGTCAGTCTGCAGGTTGGGTTTTTTTCCTCGCTCTCTTCGCCGAGCCTTTGGGTGTAGGTGTGGACACCTGCAGCTCAGGGTGGACTTCAAAGTCTCCTCCTCAACCGACAATCAGTGTTTTTAAGGAAGGAATTGTTTCTTGTGTGTGTAACATCTTTTAAAAGTTATCTATATGTATGGGGGGAACATTGCTATAATAAAACACATAGGTGAAGGAGATCTAGAATGTTTTGGACGCTTTACATTAATTCTTGCAGAAATAATTCTTGGTAACTTTTTTCTCTAGTGTCCGGCTTTCTAGCCACGGAACGTCAACATGTTGCGTGTGCTCACTGGGCTTGATTTCCCGAGTGTGAGAGAAGAAAGCCATGCTGGGAAACTTCTGACAGAGGCACGGCTCAGGCATCCGGCAGGGAGATGGTGATTAGGCGAGGTGTGTCCAGGCAGCTGCAAGGTATCGGGGGGCATTCAAGGCAAGACCCCCGGGTACTATGCTGGACAGTCTGCCTGAACTCGGAGGTGGAGATCCTGGCAGACTTGAAGTCCTGTGTAAGGTGTGGGTGAGAATGAGGTGGGAACACTGCAGTTTGGGGGTCCACAGGGCTACTCGGAAGTCACTAAGGATGCTACCAGGTCCCAACTGGGGATCTTTGGTCAAATGTGCTAAACTGCAGGGCCCGGGCGTACTGATGCTGTTGGCGCTCTTCCTTCCTGCAGGCAGGACGGACCTAACAGCCGCAGAGCTGAACCCACAGATCGGGGCGGGGGAGGCCTGTGTCGGAGCCACCGGGAGCTGCGAACGGGACCAGCGGGGGGACCGGCAGGGCACGAGGACTGCCGTGCCGGTCTCTTTCCATTTCTGCTGTAAAACAAAATGCCCCTGGTTGTGTGAAGGAAGGGGTCAAGTCTCCAAACATTTTTTCATAGAAGGGAAATTATAAATAAAAAAAATACTCGTACACAAATGAAAAAATGAGATGTTCTCAACTCTCCAATTCTGTGCACTGTATCACAGCTTTAAATTTTTTTTCAATCTCTTTGTGTGTGTGTGTGTATGCTTAGTTGCTCTGTATTCATTTGATGAGTGCTACCCAAATGAAAATGGTAACTTTTTAAAATTTCAAATTGAAATGATTTCCCGTTACTGCGCCGTTCCGACAACTCATCCCTTAGAACTTGGAGCGGCCTGCAGCGCAGACTGCTTTGCGTGGGCTAAGTGCATTTCATTCTCGCATTATGCAAACAGCCTCCCGTGACACCCGGCATAGTGGCGGGGGGGGGGGGGTGGCACTCAGCACGCGAAAGCTACGAGTGTCGTCATCACCAAACATCAGTTCTGTCCACACACAAATGTATGCAAAGCACAGACACAAACTATCAATGTCACGGTCGTCCTTTCCACCCAAGCTCTCACGGAATGATCCCATGGAGACAGAACAGGGCATTGAGCTAAATATCCTTTAGAAATTAAGGCCAGTAATATAAAAAAACACACACACACACACACACAACTGAGAATAGGAGGCAGAAAATCACCTTTAGAACATGTCAGAGCAGAAGGTGAAAGACCTAAAGGTTACCTGTAGATAAGAACCTATTCAGTGAATTATTTAAATTATTTTCCATTTGGGGGTTAACCAGTGACAGAAATGTGGGGGCTCCAGGGCAGTGAGGGGATGGGGGATGAGTAGAAAAAAAGAAAACTCAGTTAGAAACGTGGTCTTTGCGTCTGAGTAAAAGCTGCTGGGAAGAGGACTGCCGTCTGCAGTCGGAAGTCCGGTCTGCAGGGTCTGGGGGGACTCCCAGGCACCCCGGTGACGCCTCAGGGAGCCTGCAGCTGTGCCGTGGTCTTGACCGCAGCCCTGCCTGGCCCCTTTGCAGACCAAGCGACAGCTGCGAGTGACCCAACATTCAAATCAGAGGTTGTGCCAGAGCTTGAAACCAGAGACCAGCCGTAGCTGAAGCCATAAGCAGTAGATGACAAAAGCTTAAAGCATCCGGGGGAGGGGGAGGCACCCAGGCCGCCCTTCCGGCCCTAGTGTGTCTAGGGACCCCGGCTCCCGCTGTGGGAGACGTGCTCTCCAGACAGTGGGGCTTCTCGGTCAGCACCGCTTTCCTGAGAGCTGTCGTGTAGCGACCAGCCTGCCTGCGCCAACCACCGTGTGGAGCACCCCTTTCACCGACTGGGGCCACAGCTCCTTCCATAGCTCCTCCCACAGCGCCCCCCCACAGCCCCGGGGAGGAGGTAGGCGTGAAACAAGTAACGAATGAATGATGGGATTCTGCAGAAAGTGCTGGAAGGACGAGAGGAGGTTGCAGAGAGCGATGGTGATTGCAGACCGAGTGGTTAGGGAGGCCGCCAGGGAGTCCCGGGAAGGTGTGTCCGCGAGCTGGGAGCCCGGGTCTCTCTATGGTTCTCGGATGTCTCAAACAAGTAGAAATGTATTTCCCGCTCACTCAGACGGTCGTATCTAGAATTCCTTGCGTTCTAATGCACATCCAGCGTGACAGAGAAGGAGAAAGACGCTTAGAGACTGAGCCCTAACCTGCTGTCTCGTGGAGTAAGGGTCACGTTTCTCGGCGCTCCTTGTACCTGGGTCTGGTCGTGTGACAGCCGTGGCCTGCCTGTGGGGGTGGTTTGGTGATTTCTGACACACATCCTTATGAGGAGGACATGGTTCTGCGTGTCCCTGCTCCTCCCCGCTGCTGGGACGTGAACACGATGGCCGAGTGTCCGCGGCCTGCTATGACGGTGACCCAGCAGTACAGTCCCTGAGGGCTGCACACTTAGGTCACCAGCCCTGCCCTCCCACCATCCTCTCCCTCCCCACCGCGCTCCAGGGAGGGAAACAAGCTTTTATTTTGTTCACGCCACTCGCTGGGAGCGTTTTCTGCCACGTGCAGCTCCGAGCTAACGCTCTCTACGCCGAGGCTCCGACAGGGCTGCAGGCGGCCGAGGACACTCCAGGCCGCAGCCTGCCTGGACAGCCTGCTCCCAAGTGGCAGAGGCGTGTGCCGGAGGGCTGCACAAGGTCAAGGTTCAGGGGAAGGAAGAAGGGGGGAAACGTTGCGGAGTCACCGCCCCAGAGTGACCACGACAGGCAGAGGGAGGTGCTGGCCAGGACCGGGTGGGAGGGTCCCTGGAGCTGCTGCGTGAAGAGGGCTGAGAGGAAGCCCGTGCGGTGAGTGCCACGGGAGGCTGGGTCCAGATCTCAGAGGGAGGCCCTTGCCACCCGGCTGCCGCTCCGTTTCCCAGACCTGCCCCACTGGACCCGGGCCGCACTGGGAAAACGGCAGTCCTGGTGCCTTTCACATCCGAAGGAAACTGCACTCCCTGGCGGGGGCAATAAATTCTGAGATCAGGCCACAAGCACGCCCCGTGCAGACGGCAGGCCTTTCCTGTTCCTGCCGCTGCAAAGCTGATTTCCCAGCTGCTCCCTGACTCCTGTTCCAGGCCCAGCTGGAAAATTCTACCTAAGTCGGCTCCCAAGGTCGTCTGGCCTCAAAGGACCGATGAAAACTCATGTCTGCCTCTCCTGGGCCACGCGATGTCCCTACCAGGTTGCTTCTCTCCGCGTCTGTAACCCCGCAGCACCACCGCGGGACGAGCAACCCTGCTGCGTGGCTGCACACTGGAGCTCTGCGTCCGAAACATTCTTGCCTTTGCACTTCTTTTCAAACCTTCCCCCATGTATTTTGCCTGGTCCTGTCGCCACCGAGTCTGCTGGAAATTATGCCGCTGTCTGCTTTTTGACCTTGGGCAAATCATTACACCTCTCCTGGGCCTCTTTCCTTACTTGTAAGATGGAGCGATTAGCGCTGTCTCCTCATAGGGGCTGTATTGGTCCTCTGGGGCCGCCATAACAAAAGAGCACAGACTGGGGGCGGGGCGGGGGGGGGTTGCTTAACCAGCAAATGTATTTTCTCCCAGTTCCGGAGGCTGGAAGTCCAAGGGCAAGGTGCCATCAAGATTGGTTTATGGGGAGACCTCCCTTCTTGGCTTATTACAGATGGTGCCTTCTTGCTGAATGCTCACTTGGCCTTTCCCTGTGCGGAAAGGGGGGGAGGGGGGGTCTTTATTTGCAGCCTGCATTCAGCCCACGCAACACTTTTGGGCGGACAATGCATTATATAAGAATGAAATAAGATAATGTATTTTAAAATTATTTAGAAATAACACTATATATATTCATATCCGAACCATATATATGAGTGTGTGCGTGTGTGTGTGTAAGTTAATAGAATTACTATTTCTAAATATAATAGGATATTCCTAGGGTGGTCAAAACATATGTTTTTGGTTAAGCTGACCGTATTAAAGAGTAGGAATCTGTTTAACGGGCCGTGAAGCTCTGTCCTGATATTTCCACTGCGGTTTTTATTTTATGTATGTGTTTATTTTTTTTTGTATCTGATCCTCATTATGCCAGCGGGATTTTGTCCCTGTAGAAGACTTGCTTTAATGACGACTCGATCATCATCTGTTGCATTGCAACCAAAAACCGTCATATTCGGTAACAAGGAAGAGGACCCACTGAAAGGGAAGTTGAGCAATAGGAGGCACATTCTCTAGTCCTACTGAAAGGATCCAAACAGCCTCCCACCGGGACCTGCCGGGGGGCCCGCTTCCCTAAAGCTGCTTTGGAAGATGCGAGAGAATGACTCACGGCGGTCGGCCCCCTGGAGACTCAGGTGCAGGGAGGTGAATCCCAGAGGCAGAGAAGACAGACAGCGCTGACGCCGGCACGCGGAACACCGCCCCGGGGGGGCGGGGCCCGAACACGCGCCGGAAAAGACTCCTCGCTGTGCCTGGCTCAGCGGGGAGTACGCTGTTTGAGGACCTCGAGGAATCAGCAAAGACGCTCGTCGTTAGACGGCCCGTCCAGTGCGGATCTCACACACTGGGAACGCGGCTCTCAAGCAGCAGCCCCCTGCAATGAGCTCAAATAATCCGTCAGAGTTGTCCTGAGTGAAGAGGGTCCTGCAAACATCTGACTGCACCCGAAAGCAGGTTGACCCCTGATCCTCCCCTGAAGGTACCAGCACAGGTTCCCGCGTAATCACTGTTCATAGGGAACATTTCAGATCAAGCCTCCGCCAGTCTCTGGCTCCTGACTTTGTGTATTATTATTTCAGCGTTCGCTGTTCAGGGACTGAGTTCATTGAAGATGGAATCAAGAATGTTAATTACAGTGGGCATCTGTCATTCATGTCTACCTAAATACTCTTTTTATTTTTTTACTGAATTTGTCGGGGTGACACTGGTTTACAAAATTACGCAGGTTTCAGGTGCACAGTTCCACAACACATCATGGGTACACTGAACTGAGCGTTCACCACGCCAAGTCAAGCGTTCAGTGCTTTCTCCATTGGGTAGTAAGTTCCTGGACATTGTGCATGCTGCTGCCTCAGGGCAGCACCTAGAAAACTACATTTCCCAGAATTCCGTGTTGCCAAGGTACAGACATGTGACTTAGATCTCACCAATCAGATGTGGGTTGTTAAGGAAACTTTGGGTTGATTGGCTGCAGTGAGGAAACTGGGACCTGGCATTCCTGTGTGCAGGCACGGGTGTCTCTGAGTTCGAGGGCCAGTGAAGCAGCTTCCAGAGCCACAGCAGAGGCAGTGTGGTCTCCATGGTCACTGGCGGCAGCAGGACCTTCTAGGTCACCGTGGAAGCAGCTCTGATCTCAGGTCAGATGCGGCAGCCTCTCAACAATTCTGTGTCATTTCCTTTCTTTCTTGCATTCCAGCCTCTCCCAAAGGCAGACCTTGTGTAATGCCTATTTAAAAAAAAAAATTGCATTGTGTATCTTGGACTTATCCACTTTCTGGAATATCAAGCCATTATTGACTTCCGAGGCTGTGCTGGCTCGTTACAATGAACATGGGGCATGTATTCTCCCTGTCTGGTAATTCGGTTTACGGTGTTTAGGCTCAGCGTAGTGACAAAGTGCCACTTGGCAGCTAGTTGCCCGTAATTTATTAGACAAGCACCATGTAATACACAGAACTGGAGTACAGGGCCCATAATCATCTGTGGCTGTGTTTTAAACTTTATACTGATTGCATATTTCTTCGGGGACAATTTTCTAAAATGAAGCCCCAAAATATTCCACAAGACATTCAGCACTGGCGTCTTTTCCCAGTCCTTTCTTTAAAAAAAAATTTATTTTAACTGTTGTTCAGCACAGTTTTCTGTCTTTTACTCCCATCCCAGCCCACCCCCAACCCTCCCCACCTCCCTCCCATTTCCACCCCCACCCCCAGTTTTTGTCCATGTGTCCTTTATACTTGTTCCTGCAAACCTTTCCCTTTTCCCCTGAAATCCCCTCCCCTCTCCCCAGTCCTTTCTCTTGCACTGTTGTATCCAAGCTTGGGAAAGCTGCGGTGGATTCTGGTGCCCTGAGTTTTGTGCTGTGGCACATGGAACATTTCATGGTGCCGTGGCTTTGCCGTTACTCTCTGATGCCTCCTTTTGTTCACCATCCACTTAATTGACAGATTCCATTAATTCCACCCCTAAGTGTGTCTTGCACTGGCCCACTTTTCTCCGTTTTCACCTCCATTACCCTAGCGCCAGCCACCATCGACGGCCCCCTGGCTCTGCCCTGCCTTCTTTAATTCTATGCACGCCCACTAAAATGGTCTTCTCTTGCTTTTGTTAATGCCTTTCAACCGCCTTCCATTTACCTTAGAGTAAAATCCCGTGTTATTGTCATGCTGCCTTCTGCCCTGGATGCATCAAGAAGAAGCTCTGGGACAGGGCCAGTGTGGGGGAGGGTTAGCAGGTAGAGCCACAGGCAGTTCCCAGGATGGCTGGCAGTGGAGGGCACCAGCAAGCAGCGCCCCCAGCTGGGGGAAGAAATGCTTCCACCCAGGCAGGGTCTGGGTGTTGGCACCCACCCTCCTTGGCCCTAAACCAATGCTCCTACCCACTCCCATGGTCCTCTCGTGCCCCATGCCCCTCACTCAGGCTCCGCACAGTCCTCTGTCAGGTCCTTGGAAACCAAATCCTTTCCTCCCACCCCCTGCACCTCTGTCCCATCCCCAATCCTCTCTCCCGGCTGCTCTTCCGGTGGCCGGCCCTCTCATTCTTCTGGGCTCTGCTCAACTGCCACCTTCTCCAAAAGGTGTCTTCTCACTGTCCTAATAGTGGGCCCCCTCTGTTACTCCTTCCACAGCACTGCACTCATCACAGCCTTTAGTCATCTTTTAAATGATTATTATTTGGCTGCTCCACAAGAGTGGGAGCTCCCTGACACACAGTCTCGAGCACACAAGATTCCATCTCCCGGAATCGTCACGTGAAGTAGTAGCCTGCCCTACTAATGCAGGCACTAATTTAGGTCCCTGATTAAATACAGTCTGACTAATCCCCTTAATGTGTGTGTGTGTGTGTGTGTGTGTGTGTGTGTGAGAGAGAGAGAGAGAGTCTGGGTGATGGCCTCATTCTCTGTGCATAAGTCACATCTGCTCATTCTGAGTGTAAGTGCTTCAAAGTAGAAAGTACAAGCAGTAACTTCGAGCATATAGTTTAGAGTCAGAACTATGTTCAAATAGTGCTGTTGCTCATGAGGAAGTTTTCCAGGTCACTAAAGCTGTCTGCAACCAACTTTCATCTTTAAAATCAGATGATAACATTGGCCCCTCTGAGATAGGGATAGTAAATGAGAAGATTCATGTAGCGTACAACACTCTGAATAATGATTTCTTTCTTCCTGTGTGTTTAACCTCTCTCACACCACCCATTATGGGAACACAATTATTGACCTCAATTTTGATTTGATTGATTGGCTGATTGATTGATTGGCTGACTGATTGACTAACAAGATGAGAGCCGTTGTGATACACTGGCCACCAAATCCCTCCTCCACACCCTCCCAACATCAGAGATTATGAAAGTATCATCTCACTCAATAACTGAAATCACTAGTCAATATTTTACTTTCAAGAAAATGTTCATGCTGAGAAAACAGGGGCACCCTGTGTTTCAGGTGGGTTTTTAAATATTAATAATTTGTGGTGTTATTTGGAGGGGTCTGTAGAGTGAGAAGCACAGCATCTAGTTTATATCTGATGAGTTCACTGACGGTGAGTTGTTTTGTTTTAATTTTTAGTGATTAATAGAATGAGAGACGGTAACAGCTGCCGAAGGAACGTATATACCAACGCAGAAAATACAGGAACTCATTAAAATACAACCCGACATCTTGGCATAAAATCCTAACTATTGTGGTATTTTTCTAGTAGTAGAACTGTAGGGATTTCAATGTAATGCCCAGCGCTAGCTAGCGCTCATTGAACTGGAAGTGTCCCTCAACCCCCCAGAGTTCAGGCCCCTGATGAGCCGATGGGGAGATTCCCGTAGCAGCGCTTACCGGTAAGAGGAGGCGGTGAAACGTGAGACGGGGCGCGGGCGGGACTGTGGGTGACGGCAGAGGAGAGGGGAAGTGGGCGCGCGCGGTGACTCAGAGCATTGTGATGGCCAGCTGTCCGGGCCGGGCCTGTGCCGCCTGCGGTCGCCGCCGCCACCCGCCAAGGGAAGCCTGGCTGGCACGCCCGCACCGCAGCTGCCGGGGGACATTGAGTGACTTCATCTTCGGTCCTTTGAAGTCAGTTTCATTGACTCACAAAACACACGGGAAATGGTCACTGGGTCCACGAGCGGCCGATCAGTCCAGTCCTCTGCCTGTAAACATCCCAAGGGCCATTTCTACGAGGAGCTCAGGGGTTTGCTTCTAGCACATTGACCCGATTTATTTTTCTGGGTGCCACTCGGTCCCGAGGGAAGAAGCAGCCTGCGTCATTTGACACACTCATCTTACAGCACTGCCTCCGCTGTCTTAGGGGTGTTGTAGGTGCACCAGTCTACTTCAAAAGCATACACTAAGCGCCCATCACTTACCAAACTGACCGATCGCTAATATGCTTCTTGATTTCAAGAGGGACCACTTCTGTTTTCTTAAATTATTTGTTATTCTGGGGCTTCTCAGATGAATTGGGAAATAATACAACAATTAACAGGCCTCAAACTTGGTCACGTAAATGTATAAATTAACTCTGTCTATACTATGCGATACTATACTAATATTTTGTCATATTATTTTTGACTTATGTACAAAATATTGCCACTTTTCATTATTGTTCTTAATAATTTACTCTATTTCTCTCTTTAAAATATGCCCTTATAAACATTTGCATTTCTTTCATAAAATACATCAGATTAAGGTTAACAAAAATTATAGGCCCCAAAAAGTACATTGGCCCAAGAAGTACATTGTTTTGCTTGGTTTTGGGCAGTCTAGATGAAACACTTGTGTTTACTTGGTATTTCTCTATAGATGCCACCTCCTCCAGGAAGCCTTCTCTGACTTCTCTGCACCAGGATTAGGCCCTTCCTGTTTGTGCTCCCACCACACCCTGCCCTCACCTGGATTGGCCTGATGTCTTCCCATCTGCTTCTTCCTTTAGACTATGAGATCCCCATGGCAAGGATATTCAATTTTTCTCAGGAAAATGTTCGACACAAAGTAGGTATTTTTTTTTTAAGTTTTCACTGGAGCCCTGGCTGTCCTAGCCCAGTGGATTGAGCGCCGGCCTGTAAACAGAACGGTCGCCGGTCGATTCCCAGTCCTGGGTTGCTGGCCAGGTCCCCAGTTGGGGGCACGCAAGAGGCAACCGATGGATGTTTCTCTCGCACATCAACATTTTCCTCCTCTTTCTCCTTCCCTTCCCCTCTCTAAAAATAAAATAAAATAAGTAAAACCTAAAAAAAGTTTCACTGGATGAATGAATGAACAGACGAAACCTATTATTCTATCTCCTTCCACTCAACCCACGTATAAAAAAAATTTTTTTTCTGACAACGGTCAAAGCTACACAATCAGCTAATTTGGTGAGTCGCTGTTTGGATCATGCAGTCATGGCCTGTCTGAGGATTTAGTTCATGATCTACAAATAGGACCATTTTAAAGGCTTGACTTGATGGACTTAGTCTTACCTTGCTATTTTGAGTATCCTTTACATTAGCAACGGGAACCCCATACACAAAGTCTTCAGTGTGCTCATGCTGACTGCATACTCAAACATTTTTTTTTTGAAAGGAAACAACCCGTATATACACCGCAATACCCGGGTTCTGGAATTCGGAGCGGAGAGGCGGAGCGGGTGTTTATTTTGAGAATGGAAAGTCAGGAGTCTTGCAGCGGGGCACGTGTTGCATGCAGTGGCCTCCCAGGAACACGCTCAGACCAATCGGAGCCCGCGGAGAGCTTGCGTGGGCAGTATAAATATTTGGAGCCGGAGGCACCGTTACCAGCTGATACTTTCTTCCCGCAGGACCAGCTGTTCAGGGGCATCCCGGACGAGAGCCAGGCACACTCGGGCACTTGGCTCTCGCTGCCGCCGCGGCAGATTCCTGTGCAGCCATGTCGGTGTTAGAAGAAAGCCGACCATTTGCTCAGCAGTTATCCAATGTCTACTTCACGATCCTCTCGCTGTTCTGTTTCAAGCTGTTCGTGAAGATCAGCCTGGCCATCCTCAGTCACTTCTACATCGTCAAGGGCAACCGCAAAGAGGCGGCGCGGATAGCCGCGGAGTTCTACGGAGTGACCCAAGGGCAAGGTACGGTGGCGCCAGGGCTTTCGTGCTTCAAGTTGAATTTAACTCCGCTTTCATGCACAGTCCGACAGAACGTCACTTGTTTTTTCTGTGGGCTGCTTCAAGGGGAGTATTTTTGTAAACTCGGTACAGAGAATACTTGTTAGCTCACTTCGTGGTTTCCTAAAAGATTACTTTGCTGTGGAAATGTGTGGGTTAATAAAATGAAGGTATCTTTTGCAGAATAGGTGAATAGAAACATGCTTTTAAGCATACATCATTCTATTAATATTTTAAAACTTTAAACATTTCACTTCCCATAGCTTTCTAGGCTTCAATGACTGATCGCATTTCAATTGTCCTCTGACGTGGGCCCAAAGCTTTATGATTTTTTTATTCAAATCTTCAAGGATAGATAATTATTCAGAAGAGGACATTTGGAGGTGTTATTTGTTTTTCAGAAATTTTATTTTACCAAGATTAACCACTGGATTATAAAATAACGCACGGCGTGTCAAATATTAAGATTTATGGCGTGTGTTTCCCTAATGGCATTGTTGCTGCTCTGCTCCATTTGTACAAACTTGACTGGAAGAGGAATAGGAATTAGCAATCTTATGGGTGTGCAGTCATATCATCCATCCATGTTTCTTAGAAGACATTGAAGTATGAGACCTAATGGGAAACAATAATTTCAATCGTAGACTTCAAAGGTTGTAAAACCACGTACGTTCTAGCGGACTGATCTCCGTATAATGCAAATAATTCTTACAGTGGGTTTCAAGGTGATATTTTAGGTTCTGAGAGCCTTTTGATTGACTTCCGCTTTGAAAGGCAGCAGACACAATTTTAGAGTCCCAAATACTTCTACCATAACTTAAATTTTCAGAATCAAAAGATACTATCACATAGTTTAAAAAATGTAATTTTTAAAAATAGCCCAGAGTAGAAAGCTTGACCTCTTAAAAGTCTGTTTTCTTCTCTTTTTCAATTTGTGAAAATAATTCATTTTAAATGTGAATTACTCTGTGGGTACATGGGAAGTTAAGGTGGAAAACCTTTCGTGTGTGTGTGTGTAGGAGGTAGATAATGAGTATATTTTTCCTAGGGAAGATTTGTCTTAGGCAGAAAAGAGAAATCTGTTTGATTTTTGAGCTCATTAAAAGCGGGGGAAATCTGCATGCCAGCAAGAAACCCTCACCAAGAAGGTGGGATCCAGAGGAAAAAGGCAGCAGTTAACTCTTCGCCCCACAGCTCTGCTTCAGAACAGGCGGAGCTATTGAAATGCGGCCTGCACTAGGCGGCTCGACGGAGTGCCTTGTTTAAAGACAGCAAACATGGAAGACCAGATTGGAAAACAAAACCACATTTGCAGGTATAAGACTGAGTAGATCCCACGATCACAGGCCCTGAAGCTTCGGCAGCCCATAGCCGGTGACCCCAATCCACAGGAAAATCTTGTGGACGGATTGCGAGCATTGCAGTACCTAAGAACCTAAAATAGGGGCTAAAAATCTATGTCTGTTGGTGAACTGACAAGGGTTTTAGAGGGAGCTCTGGAAGCCCCCTTTTGTCCATATTTACAAACCAGAAGAAACAGGCGTCTCCTCTGTAGTTGGCTGTCTTTGCTGAGATCACTCTGGGCAGTGACGGGAGCCTGTGAAATGGCTTCCCCGCTCCCGTCTGCTGCCCACGAGTCCGTGTGAAGGTCTGTTAGACTCCGGGACTCCACCCCAAAGAGGAAAGAAAGACATCAAAACTCCCCAATAGAAAACACTTCCCCTAGGAATGTCAAGTTTTTAGAAATTTTGTGTTTTTGTAATGTTAGATCTGTGTAACTAAATTCTATCTTCTACTATCTTGCATCAATCTGTATGTTAAATAATAGGCTCTATGATGATAATTTTCATCCAGTGTCAGCGTAATTAGTTTCCAATATTTTTAATATTAGAAAAACAATCGGGGACCTTACAAATTCTTTCTTGATCTCCTACCTCTAAGAATTAATTTTTTCTTGCCCAGGAAAGTATTATATATCTTCATTTTATCACAGCTTGTTCTTTTATTCACTACAAATACACTATTTTTATTTTGGTTATATTTTTATAATTAACTAATCAGCCTCAATTATCTTTGTTTAATCTGGCAATTCCCTCCTTCCTAGGGAAGATTATCACCTTTACTCCACTTTGAATTAGGTTTCTCCTTCCTACTCTCAAGACTCAGCCAGATGGTTCCCCAACATTTCTGGCGTGGAGTTGCCAAATTCCATGAAACCCGAGCTGATGTGGGTATTTTCATGTCTCTCATAATCACAGAAGACCCTGTTGACAACACTCTGGATGCCCTCCCCATGAGCGGCAGTGCTGTGGTGTGAAATGAAAGAAACCGAGTCTTCTTAGATGCTACCGCAGATTGGCTCATTGTATTGGACCCGTGTCAGGCAGTCTTTTTAAAGCACTTTCCAATGGGGCTTGAGACCAAGATCTGTGTATGCAGTAAGAATGCAGAAAAGCTAAATGACAGCTGAGATATTTAAGGTTATGCCCTGCTCGATCCCTTTGTTATTCCACTATAACTAGGACCTGACTTCTCATTTTCTGTACTGAAGACTGCTATCAACTCCACCGCCGTACTGAAGGGACCTCTTTGTTCCGCTTTTCTGTGTTACTACCTCCCATGCTGTTCTTGCTGTTTAAGGTCCTGATGACAACTCTGTGTATCAGAGACCGCGCCCATGTGTAAAGCTAGCCCTCTACTTGGGAGACGGACCGTGAGACTGCTAGGAGTGGAAGGTGTTTTCAACTGGGCCGGCAAGCCTAAAGGAGAGCACTGATCTCCTGCAATCACTCCTTCACTGAAGGGCGATTCTCTCCCAGTTCCCTCTCGGGGTCTAAAGGGAGTTCAGTAGTTTCGCCTGCAAGTGGGTGGGGCCAGTGCTAAGGTCTTGTTTTAGAGCCTCCCTGACATCAAGGAACTAAAGAAACAAGAATATAGCAAAGGCAAAAGGTACTGTTCCCGCCTGTAAGTAGTTTATTCTAATTGAGCAGATAGTATAGCAACCTATGATAATTATTTTCCAGAGACACTAAATATCAAATGAATCTAATAACTGGGAAGATCAGTTTCAAATTTGGACTTTTAGAGATATCTTCATGGGTGAGGCCGATCTTGAGTGGACCCCAGGAATGAGGAGAAGCGTGGATTTAGAGGTGCACTAGAATATTAAGAGAGAATAGACTTGCTGGGAGTGGAAGGCTTATGAAGTAGAAAAAATGACAATAAATTGGGCACCGATGTGAAGGAATTTGAATGGCAGGCTAAGTAATTTGAACTTTACTTTGAAGGTAGTAGGAGTCATTGAGAGTTTCCGGCCCAAGTGCAGGGGCAAAATGGGAAAAGTCCCATATGCAATCCTAATTTAAGGTAGATTTCTATAACAACGGTCCTTGGAATTGGGCAGTGGGTCCGGTTTGAGGCAGGGAGCTGAGGAGCCCCTGCCTTAAGGGGATGAGGACCTAGATCTGTGTGCGGTGGTGCTGGCGTGGATAGGAAAGAATGGTAAGAAGAAATACATAAAAAGAAGAAGAGTGAACGAACTGGATGATTCCTTTAGATAACACTGGCAGAGAGCACAGATGTCACCTGAGGAAACTAACTGTCTCCCAGAATTAGATGTAACGTAGCTACAGCAAAACGTGTCAGCCACGGGAGGAATGCACCGACTACACAGGCAGATGCTCAGTCCCCAGCCGGCGCCACCCCAGAGAGGTGCGTCCGTCGCTGCTCGGTCACCTGTCTCTGGTGTGGACAGGGTAAAGCCACCAGACTCGGAATTCCACTCTTGCTTTGATTTATTTAATGTGTTCCCTCCGTCCTGCCTTTTCATCACCAAGTAACCCCTGATGGTGATGCCGCTCTCCACGTAGACTCGCCCCAGCTCTGACACCGGTAGTCCTCCTGGTAGATTCGCGTAGTTGCCTCTTGATGTCATCAGTCTGCAGAGTTTTGTGCTCCTGCAGGTGTAAGCGCACCGCTGATGTGAGAATTTGCTCCAGCTTTGCCGATAGATCAGGTTGCGAGCCTGCCAGGCCATGGACGAGTTCTAGACTGTGGGAAACCCATCAAGGCGGTGCCTGTCTGGGAGGCTGCTTGAAAAGCAATCTCGTGACACCCAACCACTTCAGGCCTGCTTTTCATGGTTGAGACTTTATACAGAGTATAGGGTAGACGTGGAATCATCTGATACATTGGTGACTGTGGTTTGATAAATTTGGTCCTAGGGTTGCCATGCAGCATACTTTATTTTTTAACAAGTCTACCGTTGACACTTGGAAATGGGCCGCAGTGTAAGTGTGTCACCCCAAGTCCAAGTGCCTGTCGTTGTGAAGACCAGTGTAAACTGGGTAGGAAAAGGGACTAGAATTTCATAGGGTGTAATGGCATTGTTTCTCCACCAGGGAAGTCCATCCCAGGGCTTTTAACTTTAACTTAAACTTCAGGAACTTCACTTTAGAGTGGATGTCAGCAATGCGCACCCAGTTTCACGTGGTTTGGGGTGCTTCTGTGTTGTTGATCATGTGTGCGGGAGGTTACTTCTGTCAGAAACACTTCTCAGAATCTCAGCAGTGAGAAATTCCAAGAAGCAAACCTGTAGGATGGCTTCTTTCATGTTGTTCATGATATAAAGGCATAAAAACACCTTAATGCTGTGAGGTTTAGACACATTTTCTCTACTTAGGTAGAAATCCACATAAAATAACTTGAATCAATAAAATTGCTCTTCTATGACAAAACCATAACATTACAATCAAAAGTGCTACAAAAAACAGTGTTTAAAAAAAGATTTTAATTTTACCCGAGCTCAACTGGTTTTCGGATCTGCCAGCACCCTTACTGGGAGGAAACTATTATGATAGCGTCAATGAAAAACGGAATCTGGGGACAAAGTTCCAAGTTCACAAAAGACAATCCTATTAATGTATGAACGTCTTCCTCCTTCCTCTATATTTGGAGGGACACAT